TCTCATGCTATGGAGTAACAGAAAATACAGAAAAGCCCGGGGAGGGGAGGGGTGACTACATGCTCAGTAGGTGCCCCAAGTTCTGAGGGCGGCAGACTCACACCGGGGAAGCTGGTGAATAGAGCAGAGATTTCGCTCTCCAAGCCTAACATCTCTGAGCACTCACGCTGGTCCCCATCTACACTGAGCTTTCGTTTGGGGACGATGACCACCACATGCCACCGAGATCATCTCCATTCAAGGGGGGAAATGAAGTGAGAAATGAGGACCGGGAAGACAGAGTCCATGGGGAGTAAACAGTTCTGGAACTTCCATTCTGGTCGGTTCTGCGATTCCCCCATCCCTGCCTTGTCCACGTCTCACCCAGCTGACACTGTGCCTAGTTAGCTGCCCAGTCTGACCCACGGGCGTGTCCACTTCCTGTTCCAAGGCTGCACGCCGATACGGCCCCAACCTGCTCCCCGAGCCTACCCCTTCCACGCTGACGCCGAGGGAAGCCACGTTGCTTCTGGTCCGTTTTCGGCACTGGCTTCCTCCCGGACTCTGCCTGCGGCACCCTCCTGGCTCACCCTGAGGCCTACCTCCCACCTCTCGGAAGCATTTCAGACCCCAGAACAGAGGGCACCTGTCGATTCCATCTCATACGACTGTCCTCTGCTTAAAACGTTGTGGCATTTTATCAGTCCCTGTACCCACACGCCGCCCTCCCTTCTGCGCCAGGCCTGCCCCTGCTCCAACCTGGTCAGTGCCTTCACCTGCCCACCAGATCCTGTTTCCTCTCCTCAGTTGTCCTCAGCGGACCCCCAGTTCAGACACCAATGTGTTGCTTTACCACCTTCACAGAGCGGCCTGCGCTCGATGTCCCCAAGGCCTCTCTTCCATGTGCTCCTACGCCTACTCCTGACACTGTCTCCTCGGCTCCACCGAAGCCCAGCTGGGTCACCAGTGGCCCCCAGGTTCTCCTCTGCTCACTGTCATCTCCCCCCACCACGATGGTGCTCCCACACCTCTTCCCCACCTGCACTCGACCCCAGGGGCCCCGCTCACCTTCACGCTCTTAAATATGAAATGTCATATCTAAGATCACTCTCCTGCCCGGACTTCTTCCTGAATCGGACTCATGCTCATGTTATCTCCTAACCGGACCTCTGCGGGCTCTGCTCGGCTCAGCAGCTGCTGGTAGGTGGAGTCAGATCACACTTTCTATCCTTTGCTGAGGTCCTCCCATGGATTCCACGCAGAAAACACTAAAGGAGATTTGCCCCCTCTGCAACCCCACCCGACTCCTCTCTCCCCCGTGCTCACTCTGCTACAGCCCCATCGGCCTCCTTGCTAGTCCCCCCCACATGCCCGGCACCCCTGACCTGAAGGCACTTGCAAAGGCCCTTCCCACTGAGTGGACGCCACCCCAGGCTCCCCACCCTCCCACCACATTCCCTCTGCCCAGCACTCCTGCCCCTCTCAACGGCTATACCGTTCTCCACAGCACTCACTACACACATGCTCATGCATGCACACACACAAAGCTGACATATACCTGTCAAAAACTCCACAAGGAAGGGATGTCTTATTTGCCACTGGATCTCCAGCATGCAGAGCAGGCACCTGGCATACAGCAGGAGCATAGTAAATGCCAGTTGCCAAGCTCATAGTGATCATGCCCTGTTCTGCTTTTGAATGCCCTGCAAGAACTTCTACACAGGTAAGAGTAAGTACAAAAACTCACACGATTAAACTTCAAAAGTGAATGCATGGAAAACAACAGCTCAAAATAAGAGTCACGTCACTGTTTAAAATGGGAAGGTTTATTAAGGTTTTTCCTCAAGAGGCACAGCCAAGCCCAGGCTTCTTAAGAGAAGCAATTAGCAGGAAATGTATGTCACACCTTGGGCCCAGAACCACGGGAGGCTTCTTCTTGACAAGCCCAGGAACTTGCACCCTGCCCCCCATCCCCCCTGCAAAGCTCCTGCTAATAAAGCTGCAAAACAGAATCCACGCTGCAGTCCCAGAAAACAGACCTGGGCACCCAGTTCCAGGTCTCCAGCTGTTCTCAGCAAGAGTGTTTAAGCAAGACATGGCATTAACTAAGTGAACCGTGCATTACAGACCCGCGGTGAAATCGTAGTTAGAAAAGCCCACGCTCAACGCCACGTCTGTACCACGTTTTCGAGCGTAGTTTCTTGTAACTTGTACATTTTGGAGGAACAGAAATGCTAAAAGCTGGGTGGCTGGCTGCCTCAAAGCTTACATTCAGCTCCTTCCCTACAAGACGGGCTCTTCCCAGATCCCGGATGAGCACCCCAACCACCCTGCCCTCTGAGGTTTGGAGCTGAGCCCACTCACATTCCAGTAGCACCTTCAGTACGTACAAAACCCGAATAAGACAAAGGATTATTTTACAAATTATTTCCCTCCTCCAGACACCCGACAATTTCTTCACCGTTTGGTTTCCCCACACATACAATTTGTAACAGCGTATTTCGTGTTCTCTGAGACTTGGTGATGGCTTACAAAGGGACATACTCAGGTCACCTTTATGTCTCTCTGTCCCTCGGTCCTAAAAACAGAAACCAGGCACGTGAACTGCCTGCCATGCCAGTGAGGATAATGAGGCGAAATAGTTGGAACTGGACAGATCCAGAGAATGGGGAATGTTCATGAGTGGAGAAAAACAGCTCCCTATCAAGTAACCTGTTTTAATAAAGTTGGCGATAAAATAAAGATCAGTATCTCCCCAAGGATTAACTTTCTCCATGCACACACTTCGAGGCAGCAGACTGCTCCAGGAGGGGTGCGTGGGGGCAGCGACCACAGCAGGGGCAGGCCGGGGTGCCCACGTGACCAGTTCAGTTGCAGGGCCCGTAAGGCACAGAAGCAACCCTGTGGCCACAGTGCCACAATCACACAATTTAGACAGACTGCTTCTGTGTCTTCCCTGCCCACTCGGATGGCAAACTCCTGTGGGAAGGCCTTCATGCCTCTCCATGAGGTGTGCAGTGCTTATAGAGCAGACGGTTTGCATAAGGACTTTGAACTTCGTGCTTATAGAAATGCTAACCGATACTGAAGCGCCCCCTGGTGGACGGTAAAATCACAGACTAGGTATTTATTGTTGGTATGGAAAACTAGATGGCTGGAAGGCACCACTAAGCCACTGACACTGTGCATGTTAGCAGAAAAAAAGCTACCTGTCAAGTGTGACATCGCGTCTCCTCTAAGTCACGTGATACATGACCAAAGCCACTGTAGTCTGAACAGCCACACACATGAACAGGGTAGAAGTCCTCGTGTATCTACTTATCGTACAGGCTTCATATGATCTTGAGGCCATTTTGGGCTATAGAAATACACCTTGTTTTCAGGTGTCCCGTCCCCCGGAGCCGAGGCTGAGGAGCTCATGGAAGGGCAGTGTGGGAGTGCACCTGTGTCACTTTCTAACAGGACCCCTGTCCACCTCGCTCAGTAAAGGCGATCTCCCTGACACCGCAGTGCCTGTCCCGGACCCCAGCGGGGCCCCCTCTGCACGGGCCCCCTCTGCACACCCCCGGCGGCACACGGGCATTTTCTCCTCAGTCCCATCTCCATCCCAAGGGGACCGTACGAGCTGTGACAAAGGAACCAGTGTCTGTCATCTTTCTCCAAACCAGAGGACACCAAGTTCACGCTACTCGCCAAGCAGACTGTAACTTGGAGTCATTCTTATTTAATGACCTCTACTTAGTCTGGCAAACAGCTACGTAGTTTACGGAACAGGCTCTATTCAGACACTGTTACTCCTTTGTGAGCCGTGTGCCTGTGTTCAGATCCGAAAGAATGCTTGAGAGGCTAAGTTTTAAAGCAAGAACGACTTTAGAGGCCTTAAAACAAGCCACCCTGACCTGCGCAGACTGGCCCTAATACTTCACTCGTTTTTTAGAAATATATTGCATTTATTAGAGTTTTGGCCCATCAATCCCAGACATAAGTATAAGTGCATCCATAGAAGGGAAAGTATTAGGTAACTAAGTTTATTAGAAACTCAAAAGAATACAATTTCCATTTTTTTTTACAATACTTTAATATTTTCTCAGGTTGGTCAGAGCTTACATGTGAAATCTGAGTTTTAAATTTCAACTTCGTAACTGATGGGCTAGTTGACCACACTCGTGAGGGGTCTCGGGAGGCATGAACGCTACTTCACACCTGGTTGCTACGAGACGGCATCTAGATCCCTGAGCAAAGACTCTGACTCTCTGGGTCTGGTCTCCTGATATTCAGAGACAAGGCACAGGGTTTCCTACGCTTGTTTCCTTCCTTCTCCAGCACTGTTCTGCTCGACCTCTGTGGGGGACGCATAAGTCATCATCACCCAGTCCATGTCCTACTTAAGTGCCATCTTTTGTTTTAAAAAAAGGAGAAAACTGGGAAGGAAATGAAAAGCACCACTAGATGCTTCGCTAACGTGTTAACTTGGCGATCCTTCCCACACCGCCACTGTTATGCTGCTCTCTAAGTAGCCAAAGCAAAAGCGTCCACGCCATTTCACTCACACCCACTTCTCTCAGGTTCTCCCATCTATTATAAAGCAAGTCTGGAAAACTTCACAGACCATTTCACTGGGGGACCTAGACCCACAGGTGAACGATGGCAGAAGCATCCCCTAGATGAGATTACAAGCCATGGAAGATCTGCAGAAGTTAAACCCTGATACAGTATTAAACTTACTTTTTACATATAAAAATAATACACAGTGGTAAGATACAATCTTTAAGATCAAGAGAGAATATACAAAACTATTCTCTGTAGTCCGATGTGTGTTACTGGACAGCAGGAATAAATACGTCTGGGACAGACAGTGTGAGGTCTGTTTCTAGAGACGTCACCAGTCACTCGGGGACTCACGGCCAAGTGCCCTGCAGGTTCTGGGCAGAAAAGAACTACTTGTTGCACTGAAAACAATGTAGTCATTATAAGATAAAGGCCTTAAATCTATAAACAATAACGAAAACACACAAACCAAATGAAAATGTACTAAAATTTAATCATTCATAAAAGCTGTAATTTAATCTGACAGTAAAACACAAGAAGCAATATTAGAGTTGGTTTAGTATATTATATATTTCAGCTTTGAAAGCCATAGAAATCAGTTATCCCAGTTTTTTCCTATAAAAGACCCATTTTTCCAAAGCATTATGCACAAACAATTTTAATTAGAATATAATGACAGAATGATATTCCATAATTTTTAAATATAAAATGAAGTCAACGACTCAAAAAAGTTACCTGCTGTAATGAGTCTGAGGGGCGTCTCATGATCTCTATCATTACAGACACAAAGTGTGATGGTCCGCGAGTCAGTGCCTGGCGGGGGTCATGGTACAAAGGTCGGTATGAAATCATCTGATTATAGTAGCGATATCTAACTTCGGAAATGCATCCATGCTCTTTTGTGTGATCATATTAGAAGTCAAGTATATTTATTTTCACATCTGTTATAACTGCTATTGCAAAGGAGAAATACTATTGTCTTATTTTCCAAGAGATATACACAGAGCAAATTTTTTTTCTCTCCGGGGAACTTGTGCAAACCAATATAGGATCTAAATTCTTCACATAATATATAAAACAGGAGAAGCCTCTTCAGATTTAGTTTTTGAAGTCTGGAATGCTGGCACTTTCCAAGTAGGCAACAGTTCTTCATTCCTGCAATCTAGAGCGTGGAACAGACACAGATATGGAAAGTCCGTGTTAATCTCCTGACGTTAGGAGGTGACGGCAAACAGGCAGCAGACCAGTAACAGAAGAAACGATGGTTCTGGGTGATCGTTACTAGAGAACGAACTGGCAACACCAGCTGCAGTCATGGGACTATACTAAGCTTCCTTGACAGAGGTTTAGTACTTAAAGTAGTTCCATCACACTTAGTGTGTCACGACACACCTGACAGCCGTCTGTGAGCAGAACACAGTGACCGTCTCATTTCTGTCCCATTACAGCTCCACCTGGAAAGTCCCTTGCCCTAAGGAATCAGCATCTGCCTGCACCAACCCCCAGGGCAGCGATTCACTCAACCATCTCGTCGCCACATTCGTTAGGCTCCTGCTTCCACGGCGGTTAGGACGGTTAGGACGGTTAGGACAGGGGAGATGACTTGGGAAGCTGGTCTCACATTGCAGGGCGGGAGACCCCCCCCCCCCCACAGCCTTGCTGCTCAGCAGGAAAGAACTGGGTTAAAGACAGGCTCTTCCAAAGGAAGGGAGTTGCTCGCTGAGGTCTTTAAAGACTGCACACATGGGAAGGGCTAAGAACACGCCAGTCTCTCAGCACTTTTCAAATGGGACCGACGTGGCCCTCCCGTCTGTAATCACAACAACGTGCTCTGCCAGCTGAGTGCTCTGATGGCTCTGGACTCTGACCCAGCACTCAGAGACAGCCCAGGTGACCCAGCACCTAACTGTAAGCTGAGCGACACAGCAGAGGCCGAGGACTTACGTGACCAGGATGCAAGACTAATTTCTAGATCTAGGCCAAGGTCTCCCCTGAGGCAAATCTCACAGTGCCCGCAGGGTGTGCAAGAGTGAACTCTCCCGACAGGCCAGGAGATGGCGCCTCTTCCTTTCAGTATGAGTTGAGTGGACACTTCAAGAGGGAAATTCAACTAGGACCAGTCAGGGTAAGGGCATAACCAGGCCAGCCAATGCTAAGAGAGCTAAACAGCACACCCCAGAACACGAACGGAGTCCTCATTGGCTCCACCTCTGCGCAGCGGCAACTATCGACAAGAACCACCTTCAGGGGGCTGAGGACTCAGAGCCACGGAACCAGGGTCCCACCAAGAGCCTAAAGCCACGGTTTGGCCCGAGCTGTCCCTCCTGAATCCAGCTCCCAGAGGTGACTGCATGCCCCCTTACCCTTTCTGCCCAGTACCCTCTTACTTCCTTTAAACGGGGTGCAACTACTCAACTGTCTCCCTTGAGAGAAAGAGAGAGACCCCCACCTATAAGGAAGCGCATTCTAGCTCATGGGACGGGGACTCCGGAAGAGGCAGCCTACCAAACAGACCCAACAGACGAGGGTTAGCACAGCCAGCTCTCACGTGGGCGCTCCTGTCAGCGGGCCTAGTGTCCAGGTCACGCCAGAAATCCACCGCATAAAAACACTCCTGTGTGGTACTGTCTGCAGTTAATGCAGATATGCAGAAGCTGAAATGCACAACTGAAGAAAAACAGACAGACGTCACCCCACAGGGCCTGGCTTCTCACTTGACAGGTGGCTTCGGAGCTGGCACTAATTTCTTCCCAAAGCGCTCACTTACTGAACACTCAGGTGGTGAAGTCACTACTAGGTGGGAGCCCCCAGAGAAAACACCTGCAGGAAGCCAGCCCACACCTGAGACGAAGCGACCGCCAGCACTGCACTGACACAGCTCCCAGGCCCGTGGAACAGCTCAGAGTGAAAAGACCACGACACCAAATCTGGGGAGAGGCGGGAACCCCCGCTGCCGGAAGGTGTGTTAACTGGTACGACTACTGAGGCACTTCTCTGGGGGACCTACTAAGGCTGTCCACACAGAGTGGACAACCTGGCCATCCCATTCCTGGACACACACCGAACAGCCACACACACCCGTGCCGGAGGGTTTGCACCCGACGTGCATGGCAGAACCGCCTGCACCAGCTCCCGACAAGAACCCGAATGTCTGTACGGCGGAACACACAGACGTACTGCTAGTACACACAGTTGTGTGACAAAAACAAACCTACTCTGCGCTACACGCAGTCAGGACAATTCTGCAAAGGCCCACATTTTTGAGTGAAAGAAGCCAGACATAAAGCAATGCACGCTTTTGTTTGTATTAAATTCAAAGAGAGGGAGACCTCCTCAGAGTTGCTGGGATGCAGGGCAGGAGGTCCATCTGGGGAGGAGACACTGCTGTTAAGACATGTGAGTATGTTGACTTTAAATAATTCACGCGATGTGCACCTAGGCCTTTCTGTAAGCCAATCTGGCATGAATTTGGGAGTGACCTTGGTGGGCGTTCTATTCACTTCGCCACTGTTCTCTGAAGACAATTCTGAACCAGGCACTGGGGACACTTCGGTGAGCAGGACGCAGCTGAGCATCTCACAAAGGGACACAAACGACTCCACAGAGGGGCGCACGCACAAAGCAGGCACCACACTTACAAGTTCCAGAAGCCTGGAAACACCCTGGTAAGTGCGACAGGAAGCGGTTAAGCTGGGGGCAGCCCAGAGCAAAGGGACAGGGACAGCACGGCCCGCGGGCGGCGTCTCACCTGGCTCAGAGCTGCTGCTGGCCGCGGGCCTAGAGCAGCAGGCACGACTTCTTCTTCGGCTTCTTCTTCTCCACTGGCGTTTTCCTATTTATCTGTCTGACCAGGTCATAAAATATCTGGATAAAAGCAAGAAAAAAGTAGTGATTGAGGCAACCAACATCTGGTGAGACCTTCTTCCAGAACACAATCCTGGTTCTGTTAAAAATCATTCTGCTCCTGGATCTCGTGCTTCGTTTTTTTTTTTTTTAAAACTATTTTTTATTATTTTTTAAAATATTTTATTTATTTATCTTTAGAGGGGAAGGGAAGGAGAGAGGGAGAGAAACATCAATGTATGGTTGCCTTTTGTCTGTCCCCTGCTGGGAACTGGCCTGCAGGGAACTGGTCTGCAACCCAGGCATGTGCCCTGACTGGGAATCGAACCGCGATTGTCTGGTTCGCAGGCCCGCGCTCAATCCACTGAGCTACACCAGCCAGGGCTTCGTGCTTCGTTTTAAAGGAGGTGCCTCAGGAGCCCCCGCTGACTCCCGGTCGGGGTGAAGCAGGACTTGCCTACTCGCCACGAGGGAACACACGTGCCCGAAGATTTCCAGTATCAAATTAAGCAAAAGACTTAGTGCAAAAGAGGACAGCAAAGTCACATTCTTCGTGGAATCTTCTATGCCTGAAAACCGATTCTTCGTACTTATTTTTTAAGAACATCAAAATCACAGAAAAGTTGCAAAAATCACACCAAGCACTTGTGTATATCCTCTACCTAGATTCACCCGTCAGTAACATTCTGCCCCGTGACCATTGTGTGCGCTCTCTCAACACGCACGCACACATGCACACTTACTATCCTCTCAGCTGCTGGAGAGCAGCCCGCGTAGCTCAGGCTCCTTGCTCTCAGGGTGTGCGCGTCCTCAGAACAAGGCTGCTCTCACACAGCCACAGCCACAGCCACACCATCACCTCATTCAAGACTTGTGAGCACCCTCCACTGGTCTGCCCCGCCCACAGTGCACACCCGGTTACTGCCCGCTAGCCGGTGATGTCCTTCATGGTAATGTCCTTCACAGTAACGCTGCACCCCCCCCAAGGGTCCACCCAAGACTACCTCCTGCGCTGGTTGGCCTGCCCCTTTGATTTTTAAAAGATTTTATTCATTTATCTTTAGAGGGGAAGGGAAGGAGAGAGGGAGAGAAATATCAATGTATGGTTGCCTCTCGTGTGTCCCCTGCTGGTAACTGGCCTGCAACCCAGGCATGTGCCCTGACTGGGAATCGAACCGCGGTTGTTTGGTTTGCAGGCCCGTGCTCAATCCACTGAGCTAACGAGCCAGGCCCCCTTAGATCTTTTATAATCTGGAAGAGTCCCTCACCTTTGTCAATGACACTGTCATTTCTGAACAAAATAGCTAGAGACTTTATAGAACTGTCCTTGATCTGTGTTTGCCTGGTGTTTCCGCACAGTCAGACCTTTGTGACAGCCAGACCTGTCACAGACATTTTGGCTGTGACAGGACAAAGGTGCTACGGTGTCCCCTCAGTGCATGGTGTTGCCTGCCCCTTTCGGTGAGGTCAGTTTGGTGAAAGGGAAAAGGTCTATGAGCCCTGACCTGAAGTGAGACAGTGTCTGTTAATAAATCTTCCGGGCTCACTCTGGATGCAAAATACAAGGTCCCAGAGACAAACGCACGCTACTCCTTCCGTCTCGGAAGCAGAGGCATCCGGGCACGTCCATGGCCCACAGCACCAGCTACCGCACGCCCAAGGATAGGAGCGCGGCCGGGCTCAGTTCTCTGCTGTGCAATGCAAACGCCCGTTTACCAATGACCTGGAATAGAAACCAATGACCCCCGACGCTCCCGACTATTATTCACCTGTAACAAACAGTGCTTTGTAGACATGCATCAAAATGTTCTAGCTTTTAGGAGCAGTATGGGGACAACTGGCAAAATTAAATTGTGTGCTGAACACAGACTGTGTCGGCATCAATTTTCTTGATTTTTCAGGAAGCTTTTTTATGTTACTTAGTTACTTTTAGAGAGGGGGAAGGGAGGCAGAAAGAGAGGGAGAGAAACACAAATGTGCAGAGATTCCGCTGCCTCTCACACGCCCCCCGCTGCAGGGCCTGGCCTACAACCTAGTCATGTGCCCTGGCTGGGTTTCGAACTGGCAACCTATCAGCTCGCAGGCCAGTGCTCACTGAGCCACACTGGCCAGGGCAATTTTCTTGATTTCTAGTAACTGTATGTATAGCAGTTGTGTAAGAGAACATCTGGGATCTAAGGGCACACACTAATTTAGGAGTAAAGAAGAGTGAGTACTATACAAACATGACAAAATGTTAGTAACTGAGGAATCTGAAGGGTAAACAAAAGTTCTTTTTATTATTCTTATATATCTTTTCAGTAAGTTTTCAAAGTAAATTATTTTTTAAGTTATTGGCCTATATTTTAAAAGATGGACCCAGATAAAACAACTCCTACTTCTCCTTAAAAATGGCCCTAAGGTTATCGATCGTTAAGGAAAACACTGAGTGTTTTATCCTAAACCCATGACAGGGACGATTCACGTATATTCTTTTCTTTCTGCTCCCCTCCTCCCATCGTCTTCAAACCATTTAACTGTTATCTTTTGCTAAGAAAGCTGAACACACGGAACCCACGAACAACGCAGTTGTCATACAGCTCCAAAGTACAAGCTGTTCCACAACTCTGAGGCCCTTTAAGGCTTTGTGTGCATAAGCTATGAACGTGTGCTCGCCAGCTTCCTCTCCTCAGAGCATAAGCTATAAAGGGAAAATGATAAAAGATGAACTGAAACGCAAGTTCATCAGAACCATGCCTCCTTGCACCAGCCAGTGTCCGTTTCTGACACAGCACAGGACGGTGGCTGATGCTGCAGCAGTAAGTACCCTCGCCCACTCCTCTGGCACACACTGCCCGCTTCAGAGCAGGAGCTGCCTCCTGCGGAGGCGAGTTCGAACCACGCCGCTTGGCAGGCCGCGAGTCCCCAGCCCCGACTCTCCCTCATCTCTCTGAACTACGGACAAATCTAAAGGGAACACAGGATCGTTTTTCAACACTCCTGCCATCCCTCAGTTAGGATGTTTGACTCCTATTATTATTCTCAGCAAAGAACAATTAATTCTTGGTGGTGATTCTAGTACGCCTATGTATTACTTTCAAAACATAGCAAAAATGGCGTGGATAAGAGTTTAAAATAGGTAGGTGGTAGGTAAGTGGTAAGCAGAGAATGAGACGGCTGTTTAGCCAGGCAGTGTGTCCCTGTATGGACTGCAAATCTGAGTCCAAGAGTTGAATCTCGTGAGAGTGTGACCCTCCATCTTCAGGCATTCAGAAATCTCACGTTCACAGGCATTCGTTGTCCGAGGAACTGTTAACTATTTAAGGGACTCTGTAGCTGGATTATCAGGCAATAAAGAGAGAAACAAAAAAACAAAACAAACAAAAAACCCTAGCATGAAATTTGTAGTGTTTCCCCAAAGAGTAAAGATTCTTCCATAGCTAATGTATTCCACTGTTTTGTTTTCTACTTTTGTTTTACAAACCCTCACGTCAAGGGGTGACTCCAACAACTGCTGGGAAGAAGCAGCCCTTCTGTGCTGGAGGCCACGGCCCAGAGGAAGCCTGAGTGGCGTGGGACTCCCCTGAACAGGTCACGTGTAAGCTGAAAGGAATACCTCCTGCCCACTGCGCTCAACGGACCCTGGCCCGACCCAGCCCAGCTGAGCCCCGGAACTCGGTGGGTGGTCCCAGTAAGGGAGAGGACAGAAGAGCAAGGAACCAGATCCCTAAGGCTGATCACCCTGCAGGTGGTGACCTTGCACCACTACCGTTATCCTAATAGGTTTTATCTCAAAGTTATCTTTCTTTTTGGAAAAGACTGCACTAAAAATTAAAAATTTTGATCAGCCAAGTTTTTCAAAATAACATCTATGAAACTGTGATTCCACACCAGAGAAAGCTGAAGCTGGAAGCATCCCACACTTGTATTTACTTGGCAGTGAACACTAATCATTACTGAAGGTCTCAGCAGGAGTGTCCCCTGCTGGGATGCAAACTTCTCTAAGACAGGAATGGTGCCTAACACAGCACTAAACACATGGGCACACAACGAAAGAAAGTTATGAATTTCTTATTTTTATGTAATTATTAAAATTGGTTTTACCAGAAAAAAAAGCAAAACAAAACAAGCTTTGATACTCTTATTTATAAAACAGAAATTTGCAGCAAGTTTAATATTTTTCCTGGCACATACTTAAAAGTAATTTAGTCATTTCAGAAGTCAGACAATGAAAATAATGGGTTGGCCAAAAAATCCATTACATCTTTTCCATAAAATAAAAGACACATTTTTCGTCTTCTTCACTAATGACTTTATTGATCTGGGTATTCTGAGTACGTCACCTCTCTCCTGCTATTGGCTTCTGGTGGCAGAGCCCGGGTGCTGCAAAACGCCTTCCGATGCACTGGACAGCCCACAGCACAGAATCATCTGGCCGAGATGCCCACGGCACAGAGAAACTTCACAAACCACTTCTGACACATTCGATCAATTACAGCACCTTCTCCATACACTGCACAAATATTTTTTTCACGTTTCAGTTGTGTTTTTTACCTCCCTTGAAATAATAAAGCTTAGTATGCCAAAAATGTTTCATGTTTTCTTCCATCTTTAGTATTAAAATGGCTACACAAAAATTCACCAATTTTGATAAAATTGTAAAAAATGCACACTGATACATTTAGAGTTGTCACAATACAATCTAACAAAATTGTTTTGAATGAGGTTAAAGACAGCTAAGCACTACTGGAGCCATCTACAGAAAAAAACAAAACAAACTTTTTGGCCAACCCAATATTAGTCAAATAAAAATGACTTATAGAACCAAAGGCCAGAGGAACAGCAAGCAAAACACAAGACTGTAATAACCTAATCTGTTCTTTGCTCTCACCTACACTGTGTGAGCTGAACTCTGACTGATTACCTGGGATGCTATGATTGGCGAGCACACCAGCAAGTGAAGTCGATGCGCTTCCCAGAGAAGCATGAAGGTGTTAAAAATGCTTATGTTGAAAATTAATAAAGCACAGGGAACCTCCAGTCTCCACTTGGTTGGTGGGGGCGGCTGGGGACTGCGCTGATCTCTCAGGGACCCAGCAAACCACCGGCCCTTTACACCCTGGCAGGCAGCTTACTTGTCCAGCATTCCTGTCCATAGCCATGGTCTCAAGAGAGTGGAGTGCTTACGTCGTGGACAGAAAAAGCCCCGTGCACCTGCTGTATCGGGCGGAGGAGAGTGTGAACTGCAGTCCACACTCAGATTCCTCCAAGTCACGTACTGAGAGGAGGGAGGACTCAAAACTCTCACTTCTGTGATACCCACAAGGTAATACATTTCTGCCTAATAGGTAAGTGCACCACAGTAACTATTTTAATTTCTATGGCTTCCTATAATCCACTCTTACATATCTGCATAAGTAATTGTTGCAATACAAGGGTGATATGACAATTTTCACATACCACTTCCTGGCATATTTAGAGGCTTAGCAGGACTTGAAACATATTCTGTAACTTAAACTTCACCTTTGCCAACAAGGTAAATACGAACATCCCCATCAGTCATCAAAGCGATTTTATGTGAGCAAGAAAATATGGTTTCTAGGAATTGCTTAGTGTTTTCTGTAAATTATAGAATTAAGAGTGTTTATAAGAACACCTTTTTTCTTAAACAGTTTTTGGCTGTTAACTTCAAGGAAATAAGAAAGCTTGTTTGCACCGCCAAGCCGCGCTAGGTTACCTCGTTAACGTTGATCTTTGACTTTGCAGAAGATTCTAAAAAGGCACAGTTACACCACTGTCTTGCTAAATTCTGACCCTGTTCTTTGCCAACTACTCGCTCGTCTTCCAGGTCACATTTATTGCCAACCAAAATCATTGGAACCTGTGGGGAGGAAGCAACAGAAAATGAACACTAACATAATTCTTATGTATCCTTTTCTAAGTAAGCAATTACCAGCTACCAACTGGAGTGCACTGATGTGGACTGTACGTTTCGCCCAGAGTTTAAAGAAAGGAATGTGAATGTGTGCTGGGGAGGGCAGGGGAGGGGAGGGGAGGGGAGGGGAGGAGGAACCCTTTCTAACAAACAGAAAAATTATGGAAAAGACCCTACTAACATTGATCTGCTAATTATTTTCAGAATATAATCCCAGATTCTAATGTAGGCTGCTCACGACAGCTGGATTCCAAACAGAAAAACCTGATACGGAGAAGAAGGTGCTCATCGGGCCTGTAGTTTAAGCCCTTCACCTCACCGTCCGGACAAACACCAAAAGCAGCAGCAAGACCCACACAGAAACAGGTCCCGCCTCCACATCTGCCCTGCAGACCTCAAGACCAGCTCAGGTGGGTCGTTAAGGAGAAAATAAAGCAGCAAAGCAGCGCCGCCTTCCGTCTTTCTCCACTGGAAATGCTGGGCTATGCCTACCCACACCCCCACTTCCTTCCAGTGAAACGGGCTGCTAACAAAGTGTACAACATCCTTAGTTCCAAGGTGTCCAGAGAGCAAAGCCACGTGTGAGGTGATGGACACAATACAAAGAATTTAAGGGACATGGTGGATCTTGCACCTAAAAGAGAAGATCATCATGAAACACTAGGCACCTGCAGCTCCACCATTTCTAGTCTGTTATGTGGGGTAAAGAGATTAACATACTAGAGCTCAGTGATCTGCATTTAATCGTCCCAAACAGGATTCTCTTAGAGAACTACCCCCTGGGTTACTGTTGGTCCTGAGTCACATGGTATACATCCCTCCCACTCACACCACTACGGAAGTTAGGGTCCCGAGCAGGCGCATGTTCCCATTAGCAATGAGAGAACAAACAGAACAGAAAGAAAGGCACAAAGGAAATCTTATATCCTAACTGATACAACTGAAAAGGAACAGTGCGCGGTTCAAAACTGAAGTGAACATATAAAATGTACATTTCATCTTTGCAAAATAGCACAATAGCGATGCTACTCACCAAATAAGAATTCCAAAAGCCCAGTTAACTAAAATCTTTAACATAATCAAAGAAAGAAAAAAAACCTGTAAGCAAAAACTATGCCAATAGAATTTTAGAAATAGGAGCACAGCCCATGGTCCCTGGCGATGCTCTCTGCCCCCATTTCTGACCTAACTGCCACCTCTCACAGCTCACTCGAGCCCCGTTCTCCTGCCAAGCGTCCTGCCGCCCCTGCTCTCTCCACCGCGCTCAGTGCCCACAGAGCGCAAGGACCGCGCTCTCATTCGTGTCCATCCTCCTGTCCTGCCATCTCAGCAAACACGTGATTCAGAGGTAAATTTAGAAAGGTAACATTTTTTTGGTCACAGGGGCCCTTCAGGCATGTGGTAGATAACCTCCCAGTACTCTACAGACAGAGAAAACAGACATTTTTTATTTGGCCAGAGAGATGGCAGTGTGTCTAGAAGATAAAAATACTCACATCTTCTGTATCCTTAACCCGTAAGATCTGTTCCCTCAGGTCCTGGAGGTCATTAAACGTGGACTGAGCTGTAATGGAATATACTAGTGCAAAGCCTTGGCCATTCTTCATATACAAATCCCTCATCGCTGTAAATTGCTCCTGTAACAAAAACATGCAATTATAAATGTGACTTCTTGAACTCATACTGGAACAAGTAAATCAGACTCACCACAAGTGAGCTGCTGCATTTTTTATTCCATGCTTTATATACATAAGACATGACATCCAGTTTCTAGAAACTCCTGCCGCAATGTTCCTGCCCTCCCTACTTACTTGACTGGAAACAATGAAAATAAACTAAAACCAGGAGGAAAATCTTCACCTCATTAATTTGCTTTCATGTGATATAGGAAAAAAGGGTGTTGGTCCTTTTCACTATACGGATCCTAATTAAATCCTTCCCATGCTGCAAAGACGGCCCCCAGGGCAGCGCCTCGGGGCGAGAAGCCCGGGGTGGAACCGGAGGCTCTCACCACCAACAGTCAGGGAGATGAAGAGGAGAGGAAAGGAAACTCGGGAGTGGCCAACGGTACAGGAAGAAAACCAACAAGTGGTGTTTCCTAGAAACCAAATGGAAAGACAGGGAGCGACTGAGTGGAAGGTGGGGAAACGTCACAGGGACTCAGAGGCAGGCAGGGGACCATGGAGGAACTACAGGCCACGGGCCTGAAGCTATGTAAAGGGGGTGAGGGCGTGAGAGTGACCAAAGACGTGAGGATGAGCGACTGCAGGTTGGCCTGAAGTTGAAGGGTGTGAAAGGAAGTGAGCAGAGAAAGCAGGGAGTGGGGAGTGGCGGGCCTGAAAATGAGACCGGCCGGTGTCAGTTATGGGAGTGAATGGCCGAAGCAGGACGGAGGCCCAGGCGCCGACGGCCACGCTGCTGGAGAAGTCTCTCCAAGACATCTGCAGAGACTCCGTCTGGATGCAAAAATCACCGAGAACTCTGACTGCAGTGGTACTGGAAAGAGTGAGCCAAGTTCTTCCAGGGTAGGCAGTGGTCCGAAACAAGACACACGGACGTCGTTGTACCCAGTTGAAGGTAAGAGAAGCGAGGCTCCGAATAACCCCAGAGGGTTTCGTCAGAAAGCGCGTCAGCAGCCCCGAGATGTTCAAATACAATACGGACAAAAGGCAAAAAACAAACTTTGCTTTTTTATAAAACAAAATTACTCTGGTGCCAAGAGAGAAAGTCTTATGTGAACCCAGTGAAATACCTAGCTCACCTAAAATTCTGGATTTCAAACACCTTTTTTGGAGCAGTAATAGCTTCCTTCTTACCTGAACACAGGGAACAGAAACCCACCACACAGATTCTACGGGTGAACTTGACACAGAATTAATAGTGAGATGTGGGCTTCAGGTTCACCACAGATGGTGTCATGCACATAAGAATACTTAAGAAGCCCCACAGTTAGAGAATTTGCTCTTAATCAGAAGAGTTACTTTCACTCCGAGGAACCACTGCTGCTAAGCCTGGCCCAGACCAAACCCGTCGAAAGCGGCGGCGCCCTCACCGTGCCCGCCGTGTCCAGGATCTCGAGCATGCACTGCTGGCAGTCCACTTCGACCTGCTGTGGGGCGGGGGACAAAGGGTGACGTCAGAAGGCCGGCCTGCTTCCCTTCCGCCCCTCCCCACAGTGCATGCTAACAGCTAACTGCACAGTCTTCCGCAGCAGACGCTGTCCTGCTTGAGGCTTAACTTGCCGTTACGATTAAGAACAGGAGTCTCAGGCCTTTTCTATTAATGGTCCAGGAGCCAGGACTATTAATGCCGACTTTACATATTGCTGACCATTGTAAACTCTGATAATAAAAAATAAAAAATGTTTAGCCCTGGCTGGTGTAGCTCAGTAGGTTGAGTGTGGACCTGCGAACCGAAGAATCGCAGTTCAATTCCCAGTCAGAGCACATGCCTGGGTTGCAGGCCAGGTCCCAGCAGGGGACCCATGAGAGGTAACTACACATTCATATTTCTCTCCTTCTCTCCTTCCCTTCCCCTCTACAGGTAAATAAATAAAATCTTTAAAAAAAATTAGAAAGAATAGCTTAAAAAGAAGAAAAAATATCAATTCTAAAAAAACTTTATTATTAGAAAGCAAATGTTCAAAAATGTATAAAATGTTTACATTATCTTTAAAGAAAACTAAGCACAAAAGTACTAAATAACTCATTAACGCAGACAAGCTTTGGGGCAAAGAAATTTTGGCAACTTACCATGTTTCAAGTTGTTGCAAGTTTTAGTGAAATATACTATATCCCAAATTTAATACATAAAAAAATTTAATTTAAGAGATGGGGGACCCCAGCTGGGTAGCTCAGTTGGTTACAGTGTAATATGCCAAGGTTGCGGGTTCAATCCCCCCATCAAGACACATATAAGAATGAACCAATGATGCATCAGTAAGTGGAACAACAAATCCACGCTTCTCTCCTCTCCCTTCCTCTCTCTAAAACTTCAATAAATAAAGTTTATTAAAAAAGAGATAAAGGGAACCCAGAAGTGCTGATGGATAACACTGAACTCAGTCCTCGGGACTTTAAGAACAAGGTACTTATTTGGAGAAGCTGTGTGCATAAGATGGAATTTTATACACTGAACTTTTCTTTTCCCAGCATCTCATAACAGAAGAGAAGGTTGGCCTAAAGAAAGTATCAACTCTCCACTGTGTGGAAAATTTGTCATCAAGAAGGGATTAAGGAAAGCTGTCAATTCCAGGTACAGATGCCCATTTGTAGCTAAAGCCTTAACCAGCGACTTATTTGGGGGGATTTCAGCCATGCAACGCTGTCTTCTAAAATTAACCCGAGGACTATTTTAAACTCTGCTTCTGTGTCAGAGCAGGGACTGACGAGCACCATCGGTGGCCAGACTCACTGTCCCGCCACTTATGGGGTGACTTGTGGTGACCTGTAAATGGGCGGAGTCAAGGCATGATGAATGAGGCCTGCAGTTTCTCAAAGTCTCTAAAGCACACTTTGCAGACAGTGAACCTGCTCCTCCCGTACAGCTGGATGAACTTAATTTCCCATTTGCTGAAAGGTAGGTTTAATCTCTCTCTCTCTCTCTTTTTTCAGTGTATCATTGGCTGCTAGTCTTTCTTATAACTCTAGGTTCCCCCCACCCCCTGCCCATAAGGTCTAGGAAATAAAACCATAAAAATTCTCTACAATTCTATCTAGTCTTGTAGTTAAGTAAATAGTACTTTTGTCAAGATCAACTTTTTCCTTTTAAATAAGCTTACTGTTTAGGTTCACAACAAAACAGGGCGGGGAAGCAGAGTCCCCGCGTACCTTTCTCCTGCTCCCCACCAGCCCCCCTCACCATCAGCACCCGCACCAGGGTGGGTTCTGCTGGAATCAACGAACCTACTGTATCGACACACCGTTGCCATGCAAAGTCCACAGTTTCCAACAAAGTTCACTCCTGGCTACACTCTGTGGGTTGGAACAAATGTAGAACGGCATGTGTCTACCATTACAGTATCACACAGAACCCAGTAACTAACTTTTTATAGTCTAAAGGTGAAATACTACCCTTAAAGTTATTATCTAACTAAACATAAATCTTTCAGTCACTGGAAAACTGCAGGCATAAAAGGGATCTTGATTTTAGTTCACAAAAAGTTTGTCAAAATTATGCCTACTTATTTATGTGCAATTTTTCCACGTTAAAAATATTCCCCACTAGGAAAATGAGTATATTAAAGAACAGCTTACTAAGCTCCCTGTAGCTAAGCAGTATTCAATAATAAATATTTTGTCTAGGTGTAACTTAAAAAAAAAGATTTTATTTATTTTTTAGACAGAGGGGAAGGGAGAGAGAAAGAGAGGGAGAGAAACATCAGTGTGTGGTTGCCTCTCACACACCCCCCAACTGGGGACCTGGCCCACAACCCAGGCATGTGCCCTGACTGGGAATTGAACTGGCAACCCCCTGGTTCTCAGGCCCCACTCAATCCACTGAGCCACATCAGCCAGGGCTGGGTATAACTTTTAAAAACAGATACAGAACATTTGTTATTATTGCTCAAAACTATTTTTAAGAAGCAATTCCATGGATGAAGTTTTAAAATCGTAAGGAACTACTTGTAAGCATGTATATACACACAAGTTTGACGTTTTACCTTTCTGTAGGAGTCTTCTATCGTTGGGTCATATTTTTCAACAAAAATTCCCTGAACAAACTGAACTGTCTGAAAAAAAAAAAAAGCAGAAAAAAGTTAAGGATCTAAAAGGAAAACTAACCCCTATAATGTTACTTCACCTCACAATGTGGTAAAGATGAAATAACATGAAGCAAAAATTCTGGGCAAACATGCAAACGTAAAGCATCAACATTTTTCGATCTGAGTCCACACTGGTAAACGAGACCCTTAGGATGAAAGGAGTTGGTCACGTGAAAGACTGTAGCAATGCTGTTGCTGACATCTTACTATTAACTACTATACTGAGTTTTAAAATACAACAGATACAAATAATGACACATTCTAATTTATTAAAAAACAAAAATTATCAGTACACTCCTACTGCTCTTCTGTGTATCTATAGTAACTTTTATCTCGTGGTCTTAAAGGAGACAGATAAAAGGCTCTAAATTTTAAAGTTCTGAACCAGTCTTTCAAATTTGGGGAAAAGGGAATTAAAATGTACTGAATTTACTGTATAATCACATTCAAACCTCACATTCACCTCAGGTATTTTTCCCATTTTCCAGCTGAGAGTCACACCACACCGTCCTGACTCCAAAGCCTTATGCTTTTCATCGGAAAACGCTGCCTACAAGTCTTTTCCAGATTATCTCCTTTTATCTCTAGGATTAGGGTGAGCACAGACTAGAAACGTTATCACTTGACAAATGAAAAGAAGCACTGAGGATGACCTGGAAATAGTTCCTGGACCTTTCAAACAGGACCAGCCCATCGCTGCTCGAAAAGAAGGTTAAGTTGTGGGGCTGAGCTCACTTGTGCTTCAGTTGCCCAGAGGAGCATTCCGTGCGTGATCTGGGCCTCGGCTAAACAGCTGACTTGAATATGGTAAACTTCTAATGTCTTTCTCCTACTAAGCTTCTATTCTTCAAAGGAAACTCAGGACAGAATTATACCAAGAACTTTATTTTTATCAAGGATTTAATCACCTCATCTTCTTAGTACTACTACATATGAAAAATATGAAGTTTTTCATTTAAATATGAAAAACTTCTTACTATGCTTTAGACTAGAGCAAAGGTCCTCAACATGGTTCAAGGAAGAGATTTAGGGGGAAAAAAGATCTGTTTTCCTAATAATACTATAATACATTCTCTCATAAAGTTACAGTGGAGTTTTTAAAAGGATATATATATATATATATGTACACACACACACATACATACATAAATACAGGGTCTGGCCCAATAATGCCCCTTTTTATTACAAAATCATAAGCATGTAATTCTGGAGCATAATGATACACTCAAGCACACCACATGACACTTGAGGTGAAATGTTCAAATTAAACCCATGAATCATTACACCCACATTACTACCCTACGGGTCACACTCACGCGGGCCTTACTGCTGCCGGGCCCTGTGCACCGCATGCTTCAGACCAGGAATCGTGCAGCGGCAGGTCTGGGAACCCAGGTCGTTCCACAACCCAGTCGTTAGACAAGGGACTTGCAAAAAGACACCCCCACACTCCTCACTCCTTTCTTCTAAACGCAAGCTTCCGTTACTTCTTGGAACCTCATGCTCTCGGCTCTCGCTGACATCTCACTCATTCACGCAGACTGCTGTCTTCCCACTGGATCCTCTGCTCCCCTCCTCACTCACTGTCTGTTCTGTACCAGTCACTCCCTTCTCCTATAGCTTTGTCTTCCTCTCCCCGGGATTACTGCCTCCCGCCCACTAACGTGCTCTCCCATCTCCCGACTGAAAATGAAAACCTCCCCTAACTCCACGCCCCCTCCGGTTCCTGCCCCTCACGGTCCCCTCTCATCTACAAGGGTGGTTCCATGACCTCAGCTCTCATTCACTCTTCAACCGCCCAGCAGGGTCACGCCCAGCAGGGTCCCGCCACCATCACTCACTGAAGCTGCTGTGTCGAGCCCAGCCACCTCACCCCCAGATCCTTTTCCTCTGCCTGACCTGACTTCTGAGCAGCCAGTCAAGACAGAGTCTTCACATTCAAGTACAAGACATTTTCTTTACATATTCGGGATCCTTCAATTCTGCCCAGCATTCAAAGGCTGAGTCCTCAGAGCCCAGTGTGAGCTCTCTCCTCTCCCCAGACAACCTTACTCTTAGGGATTTTTAATTACTTTATTTTCAAAAAGGTAATTTCATGGACATAGGATAAAGTGCCAAAGATCCAAAGGAATATGCAGTGGTCACTCACCAACCCTCCCACCACCTCTGTCCCCAGTGACTCCATCCCACTCCCAAGGAAGTGACCGCTATCTGTGGTGTACTTAACCCTGCGGAGGACAGGCGGTCCGTGCATTTTATGTGTCTCTTCCTCATCCTCCCTGGTTTGTGAAATACAAACGGTAGTCTGCTCTGTTCGGGACCTTTTTGCTCCCTAAATAGTACATCTTGGATATCATTACGTATCTATATACATAGAGCTGCTACATTTTTTAATAGTTATACAGTAGTCTACTCAAAATATGCTATTAAAAGCTTACTTAACTAGGCATTTAGGTTGTTTCCAAACTCTTGCCACTGTGAAGAATGTCACAGTGGATATCCTTGACCATGTCACTGTGTGAACTTTGTGGGGGAGTAAATTTCAGATAGACGTGCTGAATTAACATTGCATACTCATGAAATTAAATATCAGCAATGTATCCATTGTACCCCAAGTCCTATCAAAAGTTTTTCTTTTAATCTATTATCTTGAGGATCCATTATCTATTTGATGTTTTTTCTCCAACATCTCACAAACAAAAAACTGGACACGACTCTTGACCTCCACTCTAAATCCCCTCATTCCCCAGAGTTTCCCTTCCATCAGTGGCCCGCCCATGGAGTGGGCGGCTCGATTAGAGGTGTGGGGGTCGTCCTCGACGGCGCCTTCTCTCCTCATCCCCACATCACTCCAGCACTAAGTTATGTCAGGTCCACCCTATTTAAGTCGAAACATCTACTTTCCTCTTCTTGACTGCCGTGGCCCTCACGCACCCTCCACAAACAAGAAGGGGTACTGCGTTCACCTCTAACTTGCCCCACACCCACTCTGCCTGGTTACTCTACACAGAGCAGCGCCAGCGCCCTCTTTAAAACGCACACCCCGTTCTGCCAGCCCTCCCCCAAACCCTGTCTTCAGCGGCTTCTCATCACCGTGAAGAGCAGGTTCCAAGGTCTGAGATGGTTTTCGAGCCCCAACCTGGCGCTGCCCACCTCTCACCTCACCTCCCTCCGCTCTCCCTCGTTTGCCCCACCCCTGCCCCGGCAAGTGCGGCCTTTGTCTTCTTAGTGGTTTCGTTGCTGTTAGGCTCACCTGACACAGGGGCCTCTCTTAACAACCGGTGCTTTTCTTTCAAACTATCTCTGGCGATTATAATCATGTGGTTCTTGGTTTAACTGTCCATGAGCACGTCTCATCCAGGGTGATATGCGCTCCCCATCAGCACCTCGGAGCCCGACGCCGCCAGAGCCCCATTCATGTTTACTGAATCAATGCAGCACACACGCACAGCCCACCTTCACGCCACACAGCTCTGGGAGCTGAAGGTACGGCAGGACTTACTCCACTGCTGCCCGTCACACTCAGTCTCCCCCATGAAGTGTAAGTGCCTTAAAAATTAAAACCACCTCACACCTCTTTGAATCAGGAACACTGGTGTTTGACATATAGTAAGAGCCAGTAAGTATTTGATAATGAAAGCATGAATGAGTCACCATTATAAAACTATACATCCACGGTTACTGAAAGAATCCCTTTCCCCTCTGGACTAGATGTAAGCATATGAAAGAATACTGCCACCTTTTCTCTTTAGTGACTTGAAATTTCAAAGCAGGAAAGTATCACTGCTCTTCCTGTATTACGCTAGTCAGTCAGAGTCCGGTGGCTAACTTACCAGAGCAGACTTGCCCACGCCTCCTGAACCAAGGACCACTAGCTTGTACTCACGCATGGTGTGGCCTGTTTAAATACCGACAACCTGGGGAAAAACAAAGATTATCATTCAGTTGGCCAGAAAGTCTGGTACTGTTTTTTTCCATAAAATAAAAGACACGTTTTTCTGTTTCACCAATCATTGTACGGGTTTGGATATCTGAGTATGTCAGCTCTCTCCTGCTACTGGCTTCTGGTGCATAGTGACCAGGGGGCTGCTAAACACCTTCCCCATAATGTACAACGTGCAAGACGGCCCACAGCAGAGAATTCTGTGGCCAAAATGTCAATACACCGAGAAACTCCGCAAACCACTCTGACACATTGGGTCGGTCACAGCACCTTCTCCATACACTGCACACATCTTTTTCTGCATTTCAATTGTTACATTTCTTGAAATAATAAAGCACAATATGCCAAAACATTGCATGTTTTCCTCCATCTTCATCATGAAAATGGCTGCACAAAAATTCACCAATTCTGATTTTTTAAAAAATGCACACTGATATGACAGTCGTCACAATATAATCTAACAAAGGATTTTTGAGTGAAGTTAAAGACAACTAAGTGCTACCAGAGCCATCGTACAAAAAAAACCCATAACCAAAATTTTTGACCAAGCTAATATAACTGTTACACAAAGTAGTGTGTGATTTTGCTTTTGGTTGCTTTCCCCTCAAGACCATCAAAGCGAAGACAGAGAGGCTACACAGTAAGACCACGCCGAGTTTAATATAAACTCTCAGGACTATGGCCAAGCATTCTGACCCATTACAGATCATCTTTGACAAGCATCAACCATTAGCCTGTTCATGTTACTTTTAAGACTAATCAGAAAATAAGGTTAAAACTAGCAGTTAACAATTATAAATTCAATTATTTATGAAGCTATCATTTAAACTTATGTACTTTTTAAAAAGTTTACTCATAACCTTTAATATAATGTACATGCTATTTAATTTGCTTGAAATACGGTAATTCTATACTATTCTGCTCTCACTATTGTACTATAGCTGAACTATGTAAAATGTTACCTTGAAGGTTACTAGGATAGGAATGGGAGATTATGGATGAAGCTGTTAAAACTTATTACATAGGTGGGTATTAGTAATATCCTCCATGAGGCCCAAACTGCTACAGAGAAGAACAGGAAATACAAGCATTTTTTAAAATCTCGATGCTTAAAAGGTAAAAAGGCAGGAAAGAATCTCCAGTGGCCAGGATAGAATATGTAAGAATGAGCTTTCCATCCTGCAATCGCAGCACTACCATAAAAACAAGCACTGTCCCACACGGTCCCCAAGCAGTACAGGGCTGTGATGGGGGGTTGGGGGGGGCCTGGGGGGTGAGGGGGGTTGGCGGCAGGAGACTGAAATGAGACCTGCCACGGCCTGGCTTCCTGCTGGAAGGCACTGTTCAGACTGTGGTGCAGGAGGGAGAGGTTAAGCAGAGACCAGGAACATGCCAGGAAAGAAAGTTATACACAGAACCCCCCAGAAATCTGCACAGAAGTCTGTCCACTTGAGTCTGTGGCCAGATGCTAAGCCGGGTATTCGGGATGAAACTCCATGAGGTAAGATAAAGAATAAAGAAGCATCTACAAGGTGAACACTTCCACGAGTACTGGGAAATAATGGGGTTCTGACCAGAAAAATCCTCCTTGTTGAAACACAGGCAATCAACTCAACCCAGAGGGTTCGCACAGGGGAAGTGCTTCCAGACGCCCCTAACACAGCTCGAACACAAGCCTCGAACGGAGAGAGACAACCCGCAAGTAACTCAACTGCGTGTCATAACAAAATCCAAAACTCTTCACAAGAAGAAAAAATATCCATCATAGAAAACACTGTAAAATTTACAATGTCCATTTCATCCAATAAAAAATTAGTGGACACGCGAGGAAGAAAGAAAATGTAACCTGAAATCAGGGTAAAATGAGTCAGCTGCAAACAGTCCCAGAAGTGAGACAACATAGTAAGGACTCCGAAACTGCTGTTGTAAATATGCTCAGGGTTTAAAGGAAAACGTGAGAGGAGAGAGAGATGATAGGGGGGAAAAGAACCAAAATTAAGTTCTAGAATTTAAAAACAGTATTTGCAATAAAGTATCACTGGATGGAATCAATAGTGTATTAGATACGACAAAAGAAAATTTCAGAGAACCAAGATGCGGAGAGAGGAAAGGGGATGAGGAAGAAGGTCAAGAGGGAGTCGAAATGACAGAAGAAAAAGAAGAGAAGAGAACCACAGGACAACGTCAAGCTATCAAACAGATTTTCCAAATTTGATAAGAAATATAAATCTACAGATTCAAGACATTCATTGAGCCCTCTCTCAGTATAAATACAGAGAAAAATACAAGGCACAATAATCAAATTCCTGAAAAACTGCAAGAAGGGAAAATGTGAGGAGAGAAAGAATTTAGATGACAGAGGAACAAACTTAAAATATGAAGCCTTTTGAGAAGCTATGCAAGACAGGAAAATGAAACACTTTTAGAATGCTTCAAGAAGAAAGCAGTGAACCTAAATGGTAAATACAATAAATGTATTTTTCAAAAATGAAAGTAAAAGCTTTTACAGACTATTAAAAAAAATAGTGGGGGGAAAAGGTGACCAGCAGACTCTTATGAAAGCAAAGGAAGTTCTTCGAGTGGAAGGAAATGCTGAGACAGAAACTAGATCTACGTAAAGGCACGAACTGTTGACAGACACAACAACATGGACGGATCTCAGAAACACACTCAGCAAAATAAGCCCAACGGACGCTAACAGTGGCTGCTGTAGGACTCCACTTACGTAAAACCCTCGAAGAGATACACTAAGTCACAGTGCCAGAGAGCTGCCCGGGCCCCGAGGTGACAGGGCAGGGCTGGTGACGACGGTGTACAAGGGAACTTAAATGACCACCAGTATCTTGACTGTGGCGGTGGGTACAGGGTGCACACGTTTATCGAACTTATTAGACTGTACCTTTAACAAAGGTACATGGTATTGCATATAAATTATAGCTCACTATAGTTAATTTAAAGAAATTTACAGGAACAAGTATAAAGGACACATGGACAAAAACTAACAGGGGTGGAAATGGGAGGGAGGTGGGCTGGGAGTAAAAGACAGAAAACTGTACTTGAAAAATAATTAAATTTAAAAAAAGAAAATAAAATTCAGTGAGAAAAAAGGGAAACTTCTCAGAATGCCAACGATATTCATAGTGTCACGAACTGAATGCATCCCCTGCAAATTCTTGCCTTGAAACCCAACCCCTAACTCGATGGTACTAAGAGGAGCGGCCTCCGGGAGGTAACTGAGTTAGATGAGGTCATGAAGGCGGAGCCCTGATAAATGGGGTTAGTGCCTTTAGAGACCCGAAGTTTGTTTCTCTCTGTGCTTGCCTTGTGAGGATACAAGCCAGGAGCAGGTCCTCACCACACATTTGATGTGCCAGAACTTTGATCGTGGGCTTCTCAGCCTCCAGAACTGTGAAAAGGAAACTTGCTGTTTCAGCCATCCAGTCCACAGTAATTTATTAGAGCAACCTGAGCTGATTAACAGTAAGGTATGTTAGTGGACTATGAACAGACGCTATGGCAAGTATGGCTGTTGTTCTGAATCAAACACTTAGAAAGCACCTCCTGGGTATCATCAGTTCTGTGCTAGGTGCCAGGGACACAAAAATCAAAAGCATGTTTCCCATCCTCAAGTAGCATGGAGAGGAAGAAAAAACAAATTAACTACCAGATGACGTGAACAAAGTTACTATGAAGACAAAATCAGACGGTTGGGGAGGGGCAGAATAACAAAGGGGAGTGCAAGACAGCTTTTCAATGCAAGTTACGTAAGAGCTAAGTGAACAACTGAATAGGAACGCTCCAGGTATGTAGGGAAGGGTGCTCTAAGCAGAGGAAACAGCTTGAGCAAGCACTCTGACCCATGAAATAGAGAAGAACCAGTGTGGCTAGAACACAGGGTTTTAAAAGGTCTAGAAAGTGAGGCTGGGTATGGGGACTGGGTAGTGCTTGCAAAGGTATTTGCCATATTTAAAGAGTTTACGCTTTACCTAGAAAGCGATAGGGAGAAAACAGTGATACTTAAAAAAAGTCATGTAGTTAGATATATTTTCTAGCAAAATAGCCGGTAAAAGTACTCATATCAAATGGACTGAAGAAAAGAGAAAGTGAGGCAGGGAGAACAGGGAGGAGGCCCCGGAAGGGCTGCACAGGAAGGGGCGCGGGGCTGAAGAGGGACCGGTGGTTCCTGCAGGGAGAGCTGGGAGGACCTCGCGGCTGACCATGGGCCATTATTAAGGCAAATGAAGAGGAGTCAAGGATAACTCCTAGATACCTAGCTTGGACAAATGAGGGGCTGCTGGAATGCCTCCCATTAAGATAGGAACTACAAAAGGAGGTTTCAAACCAAGACAATACTTTCTGCCAAATGTTCAGTTTGAGATTCCTGAGGAAAAAGTAAAGTGGGAGAGGTGTGTGCCGGACACTAGTCATCCTATACCTCTACCTGCACCAGGCGGTTCTCTGACTTCTGTGGGAAAAAATGCTGATGGTCAACACGAGCGCACGCACCTCACCCAGACAGATGCGCATTCCCGAAACTCCCTCTGCAGGCCCCAACTGATTCTAAGTTGGAGGACTGCTGTCATTTCAACAAGATGTGATTTCGTCATTTCATTCAATCCAAAAATGTGTATCTTTCAAGAGGGAATACTCATACTCTCCAAGTTGCCTCCCAGGGCAAGAAGATTTGGGGAAAGCACTCAGGCATGGCCAAATTATTCTGGGTATTCTGCAACACTGAACTATCTGGCCTCTGTGCCTCAAGTCAAGTGGCACGACATTCAAGTCCAAAGTCATGTTTCACATGCACTGTATGTACAGAGAATTATTTCTTTTACACGTAACACGTACCATGGCTTACAGATGTAAATCTATATGCGCACACACAAATACAAAAATGTAAGGCTTAGGCAAGAACACACATACACACAAATATACCCAATAAGGAATGGTGTGAATTAATATATTCTTTTCAAA